ATCAAATAACGTAAAAGTTTTTACTGAAGAATGGATACAAAGCAGAAAAGAGTAAGTAATTTTCAGATTTTTGTAAAACCGTAATTATTATTACTATTTATTGATATACTTGTAGTGATCCGTTGTTTTATCATATCTAATTGCTCGACCGATATTGCTAGTTGGGACAAATTGTGATCATGATAATTTTAGCTTCAAAAATACAGATGCTTTTAATAACCTTAATTTTGCACCCTACTAATTAAATTTTAACATTTTTTTCGAAATATTTTTCTTAAGATATTAGTCAAAATACATCTATTGTTCTGTGACCATAAAGTAATATTCTTCTCCAGTTCCAAACGTTGATTGAATTCAAGAAATGGGTAAACAAGATCTAGGTTATAAGATCTCACTGTCTGCGTTTAAATTCTAATTCCTTTGGCAAAGTTCAGGGGTATAAGCTGCCATTCAACTAAAATGAAAGAAATGAAATCCATACATCTGTTTCACTGATGTTCAACCCCTTTCTCTAGTTATATTGATTTAGTAAAACAATAAGACAGTTATCAGCAAACTGTGATTGTATAAGCTTCGAATTCACTTCTGAAGAAATCCAATAATACGTGTTCCGTCATCATTGTTAAATATTATCACTATTTCAGAGTGGTATTCATCACGAACTGACATCTTTTGCAGAACCATTGAAAACCTGAGAGCACTAAGCAGGAGTTTCGTCTTAGAGTGAGACTATTCAGCAACGCAGTTCAACAATCCCACTACACATGGAATCCATGGTAGGTGGCATTTGACCATGGTCGCACTATATCGCTAATCGACAGAAGAATAAAAGTTTTTACCATAGGTTTTCAACACGGTGGTTCAATGGTTAAGTGGTTGCTACAAAACCTGAAAGTCATGGGTTTACTTTCTATTTAGGTCACAGGTAAGTACTGCTGAGAAGTCCCATACTGGGCTGAAACAGCTGTCCACTACTTCTAGGTTCTCAGTGGTGTATTTTAGCAAATATCTGTCAGTTACTAATGTCATTTTGAAATCAATATATCCCTACAAACCTGAAAACCGAATTATCATCGGTCTCTCAGTAACTGGTCCACATTATGCTAAATCTGTGCTAGTTCATGTTTCCATGAATAATGTTTTGTTAAGTTGATGAAACTATGTGGAATTTTGTTGTAACGCATACATTTTGGCATTATTTAAGTTGTAAACAGCTGAGGAGAATACACGGAATGAAAACGAGCTCATCTACGTTTTTTCTTGCTCTATTGACAATACTAACCTCATTTGTCAATCAGAATATACATCTTTCATGGCAACTAACCTTAATTCGGGTTTATCAAGTGATTAGAAAATTTCTTTTTATATATATATATATATATATATATATATATGTAAACTAAAGATTGAATTAAAAAGTAGGAGGTTGTATTCTTGAATGTGCCGAGGCAGTTGACAAGTAGTCATACACTTTAGTTTCATAAATTTTTATTGTTTTCGTCAGTAGAATAGGCTTAAAATCTGGATTAAAATCATCATTTCAACAGCAGACGAAGGTAGTAAGCTTTGCAAATAACCATATTCATTAGTACGTAGCGCAGGAAACCTGGTTGTCAGTTGATTACCAACAACATTCTGAAGTTTTAAACAGTCATAAGTGTACATATTAAAGTTGATGATCGAGCAGCTAGGGCATATTAGTTTCTACAAAAAAGGGATAAATTATGCTTGTTTAAGTGGAATACAGTATGGCCTAACTTAACTTAAGGGCTATAATGAGATTTTTTAATAGAATTTCAAGTGCTTAGTTATACATAACGTGAAAGCTATAGACACATATATCATCTGTTTGGAAGATTGTAATCAAGCGCAAGGTATTTGAATATACCATCTTAAGAATTAAACACATTCGAATTTGATTGTTTAATACGTACATATGATTGTGAATTCCCCTACAACGCAAGTGAATCTATATTGCAGTACTAAGAAGCCAACCACTATTATCATACTGATTTCAAGGTTTGTGTCAAATTAGTTGACCTCTAAAAATAAACTTTCATTCCACATCAACAACAGCCAAAAAATCAGTGAAAGTCTTAGAGAAATGAATATCTGTTTCGTCTTAGCATTTACACTCTAACTGCTTCTCTTCCGTTTTCTCTCGATGAAAGCGAAAGCAAAAATGGGGATATAGAATGTCCACACAATGTTCAAAGCTAGCAAGGCTTCCTAGATTCTAAATGAGTTGAGAAGGAATGGCATAGAACTGCTAGGAGTTTGCGAATGAGGATGGAATGGAAGTAGACTCCCCAAAATTTCAACTGGAGACTCAATAATCAACTCCGATGTTGTCACCCAGACGACAATCACGAGCAAACCAGGAAAGTGGCTATCATGATTTCCTCACGGCATCCAAGGCCGTCATGCAGTGGGAACCAATCTCCTGCTGTAGGATCATGACAGCAAAACTCAAATCAAAAGGGAGAAAAGTTACAATCATACAACGCCACTCTACGCACCTTCATAAAAGGCAGATAAAGAGAAGAAGGAGGAATTCTATAGACAACTGTGATCAGTAATGGACAAGACTCCACCCCAGTTGGCGAAATCAAAATTCTAATGGAAGGGGTGACATGGATGCTAAGCTGGGGGCAGACAACATAGGAAGAGAACTCATCATGGGTTGAGAGGCAGGCACTCGGTGAAATGAATGAGAATGGAGGAGTGTTTGAAGACTTCTGTGAATTCGACGATTTGGTGATTGGAGGCAGTGTGTACAAACACAAGGATATTGACGAAGCGACATGGATTTCACCAGATGGACGCACTACACAAAAAGCCAGATGACTTCACTTCCTATCTGAAGAAACTGGAGATGCAGGCAGTCTACTGGACACGAGATCAGATCAGATCAAGAAGAGGAGAAGACGTTGGTAAAAAAACCAGAAGCAGAAGATGAACTACAGCAGTTCCATCCAGTACAGGTATGAACAACGAAAACAGCAACTGAACACAACCCATAAAACACTGAACAATGAAGTGAAGAAGAGTTCGCGCAACCACAAAAGACACTTCTATGACACACTTGTAACTGAAGCACAACAGGCTGTAAATAGGAGAGACAGACACCTGACAACACTGCATCGAATAACCAGGTTACTATCTGAAAGAGAAGAGATCAACGCAGACGAAACCAGTGAGAGATGGTGAAGGAAACCTAGTCATCACCATGGAGGAGAAACAAAGGAAACAATGGGCTAACCACTTCAAAAAACCTTTGAATCGAACAACACCGCCGCCACCACCACCACCACCATCTGCGACTCGTCCACAAATACCACCAGCAGCACAGCCAACAGAAGCCGAAGTTCTGAACACCATAGAGTTGCTGAAATGGAGCGGGAAAAGGGAGCAGGACCAGATGGAATCCGGCGAGAAGCACTGAGAATAGACACAGAGACAACAGCCGACATGCTCACACCACTATTGCATAAGGTTTGGAAGGAGGGAAGGAAAGGTACCTCTGCCCATTGATTGCAAGAAGTCGTCTTGGCAACAACTGGTGAGCAATCATGCTCCTGTCAACACCAAGTAAAATATTATGCTACATCATACTGGAGAGACTAAACAATCCACTCGATTCATAATACAACTAGGATAGGCTGACTGGATTCAGGAAGAACAAATCATGTGTGGATCACACTGTATAGCTACGCCACGCATCATCATAGAACAGAGCATAGACAGGCAGTCAACTCTTTACTTTACCTCAACTACATCGATTTTGAAAAGGCCTTCAACACCGTCAACCGAGAAGTAATTTGATAATCACCTGCTTCAACACTACGGTTTTAGTGTCACAAACCTTATCAACCTCATTCAACAGCTATGTGCTATATGATGTTACATGCTGAGTGATTCACAATGGAAAGCTCAGTGGCACCTTTGAAGTGAAGACAGGAAGGAAGTAGTAAGAAAATGCTGCCGCCTACTATCACCGATCATCCACCTGATTGTGGTCAACTGGGTCATACAGATAACCGTGAGGAGCGAGAAGACGGGCATAGGCTGTTTGACTGATGAAAAGACTCTAGAAGATTTGGATTTCGCCACCGATGATGATTTATGTTTGATGTCTTGTCGCACAAACTCAAAGATGTACAGGCAAAAACTAACAAGTTGACAAAATAGGCAGGGCAGCGAAGACGTAAATTCCTTCAGGTGAACGTGGAGAAGACACAGGTGATGAAGATTCTCAACCACCACCAACAACAACAAGCACCAATCACCATCAACGGTGAGAAACCTAAATGAAGTTGTCTCTTTCACCCACCTCAGCAGCATTGTTTCAACTATAGGAGGTGATACAGAAAAGGATGTCAAAGCCAGGATCGGAAAGACAGCAAGACAGGTCTTCATTAATCTGAAATCAGTGTGGAGATCTACTGCACTCGGCAATATGAACAAGATCGTGATGTTCAACGCTAGCTTCAAGTTGGTGCTTCTATATGATGGAGAAACTTGGCGCGTTACAAAAAGCATTTCCAATGAACTACAGACATTCATCAACCGCTACTTACGCTTGATACTGAAGATTAGATGGATGGCCAGAAAGAATGGGCAACAAGTAACTCTGGTTGGTCAATGAAGCAACCATGAACCACTCGCTCAACATATATGTATGAGACAGTGGAGATGGATTGGATTGGACTTACATTGAGACGACGGATTGGGGCATGAAGTGCCATGCCCTCGAGTGGAACCCTAAGGGAAAACGAGGAGTTTGGAGTCTCAGCTGAGGGTGAGATGGAGGAGATGGTGTGAGGGAGAAATGAAAGCTTGTGGGCATTCGTGGAGCCGGGTTGAAAAGACTGCAGAGAACAGAGTGAAATGGAGACGTGCTACTGAAGCTCCATGCTCCACTAGGAACCTAAGGGAAAAGTAATGATAATCATAAATTGCTGAACAAAATCGCAGTAATTGCCTAATTTAATATTTCCATGTTTAAACTTATGGACCACGACAAAATAACTGTAAAAGTGTGTGAATAAGAGAATATACTCAATAAATCTGAGTCTGAGGTAACATTAAGGCCCGAAAAATAATGAGAGAAGTAAATTCATCGCTACGTTTGCAGAGTTAACTAAGACACTAACATAAATGATGAAAATTTTGACTTACTACACGCAACTACCTTTCACTTTATAGACAATCGAGGATAAAAATCGGAATGCTGAAATTAGGCTTGTTAAAATTAGTGATGAAAACAGACGCCATCATCTTAACCAAAACCAATCTTATCCAGAAACTAGTGAATCAGATAAACTCAAATCATTAATCAAACAAACCCTGGGATTAGATTCAACAGCGGCAACATTACGCCCAATACTCAGCGAGCAACAACAAATGAGGTAGATATCACAATCACTTAGGTATGCTAATGATTTTTTCTACAATTCAGATTGTCGTCTGTTACGTTGGAAATGCTAATGGAACGTGAAGAGATTGACATCCATCCCTATGGAAGAGGTGGAATTTATGAAGGCATATTATACAGAAATAGAGCAGAAGAACAGATTGATATGATCTCCGCATTCATCTGGTTCATTTTCGTCAGTTCAGTCATCATGATGGCTGGATCAATTGTTTTTGTATCAGGTAAATTGAATGTGTAATATAACTAATGAAACAAACTACTTGAACTCAATACCTCACCCATAAGAATGGTGTTCAATATATGGCTATAAAACTGTATGCTCAAGTAAATCCATGAGAGTGGAACAGATGCTAGTAGATCCAGTAACAAAATATATCAAAAACAGCCATGTTTCATTGAGTGACGTGATAAAGATGTATAAAGGAATTCCGCTCCACCACAATTAGAAATTGTACTCTTATACTGAATCTCTGCAAAATACAGTTATTTGTAAGGGTATTTGATAGATATTGATTTGTCATAAGTATATTTAATAGTTAATTTATAACTTTTAAACATTAGTTCGTTCAATTTATTACTTTCTTTTGTAGAACTTTATCACTTTTTAAAATCTGAGACCACAAGTGAAGATATAAAAGCTTTTTGTGAGTTTTTTAAAACCTGCGGCAAAGCAAAGCCATCTTATTGAAGAAAATTTTGTCTTTGTTTGCATAGTTTCTTGGTTTCCATGAAAGCGAACCTTGTGATCGAGTTGATTAAATTTTAATATTAAAAAAAGTTTGTTAGTTGAGTAGCTTCAGTCTTTTAAAAATAAAATATAAAAATCCATTCCAGCCATTATTCGAAATCATTTTGTTTTCTTAAATGAAGTTTTTTTCAATATCATTCAGTCGATAAAACAATGAAATCAGGGCGTAGGAGATACTTTATGGTTTATTTAAAAAGTGTTCAGAAAGCTACACTTAAGCTTTCAAATTTATTAGGAAATTTACAATCCTTTGGAACAAACGCTGTGATAAGCAACCAACCCGTGATATTTGACAACTGATTCCACTTTTCTCAGTAGCTGGTACTGATGTTTAAATACTTCCTTTTTGGCTGCATATCTGAGTCCGTTATTCGCGTACAAGATCCATACATGAATTTATAAGTTCTTTATATTAAATTAGAAAAAACCTGAACATTAGAAGGAGTTCATCGCTCACTAATGAGGTAGAAAAACTTAAAATAATGGCATGCAAAAATGTAAATCAAATCGATTACTTGTAAAACGCTTTCTACTGATAATAAAAGTGTACTATTATCACCTATAACTGCAGTTGAAAATCAAGGTGACTTCTGAGCATAAAAAGTGAAGACATTTTTCTGGGTCACTTCGAAGACCATGTAAGCCTCTCAATAAATTCATATTTACGTTTTCAAAAAAATTAATATTTTAGGTAGACGTTACTATTCTTCTATTACATTTTGTGGCTGCTTATGTCAAGTTATCATTGCCTAGGCTAACTTTTAACTTGTGTAGAGGTAAATAGATAGAAACTCAGCTTGACGCAGACAGCATATATAACTTTTGTCGAAAAAGATCCTGAACCATTGAAATCAGGAAAGCGTACGATAACAAAAGAGGAGAGAGTTGAACAGCGTGGAGTGTAAAAGTAATTCTTACTTATACCAGTAGATATCCAGTACAAATAAAAACAATTATTTTCATCAGTAATGTGTTAATGGTGCTAGGCATATTTGATTAGACTTTCGAATAAATTTAAATTTGGCAAACAACTGTATCCAATATATACAAAGCTTGATTCTAAGCGAGTATGCTGATTTAAATGCCACTCTAATCACAGCCTTATGGAATTGCAATCTACCACAGTACCTACGTTTTACTTCTACATTAATTACATTGGATTATTTAATTACCTCAGTGATATCCAGCAGACTGAAGAGTAACTCTTTTATCCCTAGGCTTGGTGTTAATAAAGTTGTCGTTCTTGAGTTTATTATTGGCATCTCTCCTCAAATAAGGGCTTTCAGAAACCGTGAACCAAATCTTAGTCTACACGTTGTTGGATTCCCAGAGTCGTTGAACAGTAGTTGCTATTCTATCTTTCTGAATGCATTCTATAGAGAAAGTGGTTACTGGTGATTTTTTTTAGGACATCAGAGGGAGTTCACATTAATTTTAATCAAACTTTTCTGTCTCCATTTTGCTTCTTGCAATGAAGCACACCTGGTTATTTGAATTTCGATACCTTGAGATTCTGGAACTTTTCTAGAAGTTTCTCGGATAGTATGTAACAGCGCTTAGCATGAAAAATGTTTCGTGATTATTTTCTGTTCGTAATACTTTGTTTTGGAAAGATCTCAAGTTATGGTTTGACACAAACTTAATATTTTCGATTTCCTCTGCTTCTACTTTTCGTTTGATAAGAAAGACTCAGTCAGTAATAGGTTTATTATTTATACGGGTGACTTTAAATACCACCCTGTCAACTGCCTAGGTAACCAATTGCTTCTCTCCATGATATAGAAACTAACTTCCCGACCAGACTTTCGAAATCTGATTGATTATATCAACAGTGGTTGGGGTAGCCTTTAGAGTTACTCAGATGTGAAGTTGAATTTTCCAACTATATATTTTGAGAATTCTAGTTCAGTCGTTCTACTGGCTTTATTTCTACATTTTACCTTAGTTTTAATTACCTTTAAAAACAGGTGCAGTTTGACATTATTTCTCGAGTTATGAATAACGTATCTCATTTTCCTTCATGTTGTATTGGAAAAAAAACAATTAGGTAATATGAATGAGACAATGTTAACTGGAATAAATTGAAAATCTTTAATAAAGGTTGCAATTATTAGAAACATCAAATGAAGTAACACCGAAAACTATTAGATGTAAAAATAAAAATGATAATGAGCATATAAGATTACAAAGAATAATCGGACAAAAGAGAAAGTTAAAAAACCAAGAAAGTAACGAAGCATACAAAGACCAAAATAAGTTAAGGCCATGGTGGAGACAAAGACTGTACATACTTCTTTCGCACGCAAACATCAGGCTTCAATTTATAGATATCTACGGCCTAATCTGAGAACGAGAAATTAACCATCGCATCTCTTACTGCGAAGATTTCAAGGTTTTGTTACCCATTTAAGAATTCTATTAAAGGGAAATACGTTTAGTGCCTGCGACATTAACTACTTATCAATTTACATTATTATTTGTAATGTTAAAATACTAATTTATCTATAGTAGGATTTCCTTCATATTCATTCGGAGTACAAAAAATCTATTTCCTTACCATTCATGAAAATGCTGCATTGCAGTGATGACTATTTTGTAATTGTCACTTGAAATGCTATGAAAGTCGTGTATTTTTGGCCATTTCTTGATCCTCATACGGTTTACTAATGAGTCCGCTAGTGGTTGTTATCTTGTGTTTTGATTTCAATCACTGGTGGCTGAGACGAAAACACATTTGTGTATTTCGAGACCAAATTCTAACAGCATCGTTTGAATTTACATCAGATGCTTAAAATGAAGACTTGGCTTATCCTTATTAAAAATTAACAATCACCAAATTTCAATTTGCTACAAAATAACCTAAATGCTTTCAACAATCAAACATAAACTTTAGATTAAAAAGCCTTATATGAACAATTCCTTTGACATATTACCAAAATGTCTTGAAGTCACTTCATAAATGATTTCATATCTGACTCCACTGACGAACACATGAGTTCTACGATCTCTTCACATTCTTTACTGCACTTGACGTTATGATTTACCGACATCCAACAACTTGAAAGCGAAAAAGGGCACACAATGATTTGAAAAAGTGTATCAGCTACGAATTTAAATTTAAAAAGGAAAACCAAAAAGTATGTTGGCAACAGACAACTCAATATCAATAAAAACAAACAAATATTCAGTTATAAGTTTGACTACTTGAGATAGCTGCAGTTTCGCAGACGTTTGTTGTTGATACTGTGTATTGATTAAAACTGAACTGAAAATCCGAGTCTCCACATCATTCAAACCAGTGGAAAAGTAAAATACCACAGAGAATACAAAATATAATCTACGTAACAGTTTCTTCGTAGAATAAAGAGAAATGCGTATTCAGAGATAGTTATAAAGAACTCATATTTTGTTAAATGAATTATGGAATTCGATAGGATACTGTTTAAATAGAAATCAGCATTTTAAGTCATCAGCACCCAAGGCAGAAGTCTTGGATTTCAACCTTGGTTTCATTTTACTGTGTTGGCGGAAAACAGTGATCCAACAGTTTTTCCCTTCTGCTGACTAGTGAAAATAATTACTGACTTTCTGACCTAGTGGCTTCATTTACTAAAAAAAAGCCGTATATAAATGATATATTTTTTGTAAAATAAACTTATCTCCCTTACATTCATAAGCTGGTTTTTGTTTTGTGATCTTTGCAGCTCAGTGAAGTACTAGTTCTCAGGAAGAACAGTAGTTTTTCGTGTCCAGCCCATGCATCTCACTGCGTTATTAGCGTCCTCGTATTTCGTTTTATTCCGTCAGTCACTTCCAGTGGGTCACTTCAGAATCAACACCGTTTTGCGAAAGCATATATTAAATAAAGAAGCTTTTCCAGTGCATGGGGTTTCTAAACGCTAGAAATGAAATTTTGTGAATGTAGTCGAACAGATATTAGAAAAAATCGTGTCTGCAATGTTGGTCATAATGATATTCATAAAAATAACTATACCTGAAAATGTGTCAAATGAAAAAGGCTGACCAAGTATTTTTTAGGCTTCACATAAAAATAATGTGCTCAAACAGCAAACGCCCAAGTGTGGCAATGGATCATGAGCAAATTAATTTATGTACTGAAAGCTGCAACTGGATAAGCAAAAAATAAATGGACGATGCAGGAATTGTTGCAGGAAAATAAAATAACTTAAGCAGTAACCGTCTGTATAAAACACTTTGACCAGTAGACTTTTCAATCTGATCGAGTTGCTTTTTCAGGCCTTTTGTTTGGTTTTTCGCATACCGTAGGTTGACATAGTGACATACTATTACTGAAATCCTCATTGTCACTTTATTAAATGTTATTGGTGAGCGTCGGTTTCAAACTATCAATCCTAACAACGTCAGCTTTGATCAGTCAGTCAATGGTAATGACTGTCACCAGTATTTAGAATCCTACATTAACAGCAGCTAGCTGGGTAAGGTGTTCAACAGACCCTCTTCGGTATAAA